TTTATCTTTGGCCTTTTTAACCATCTCATACAAACCAACTACTTATAGTACAGCTAGGTACATACACAAAAAAAGTTACTGGAATGCTCGGAATAAGACTGTTTTTTTTGTTGTTTTTGTTTTTTTTACAAGGTTTCTTTTTCTCCTTTGAGATTATAATGAACATGGTCACACCACAAGTAAGGTCAGAAGTAGGACAGAAAACGCTCTGAAGGCTGGTTTGGTCACCCGTTATCATTAAAAATGGCTGACTCCCTAACAATATGCACAAAAATATAAAATGTAAATAAAAAATACAAACAAATTTTCCTTTTAAAGTATTTTTAAGAAAAAAAGCAGGGCCTTGGAAGTTTTGGTTCTTTTTCCCTCCCCTGTTGCAAATTCATGGTGTGGATTTGGTGGGGTGGTAGAGAGCGCATGTCATCTGAGACGGGAAGTGGAGGGTGAATAGGTCACGGTGGCCTTAAGTTTAGCTTTTCCTTTCTGCTGTCTAGTCATCCTCATCGGTCTTCTGCTTCTTGGTGTCAGCATCATCAAACTCATCATCTTCAGCTACCAGCTTGCCCGTAGGAGCCTCAGCTTCCTCATCTTCATCTCCATCCTCTTCCTCACCGTCGCCTTCTTCCTCCTCTTCCTCTTCCTCCCCACCTTCTTCCTCTTCTTCATCTACCTCATTGTCAGCCTCCTGCTCCCCATTTTCCTCATTAGCATTTCCATTGGCAGGTGCGTCTCTTCCATTCTCTGCCTCCTCCACAACTTCCTTCTTCTCCTTCAAGTCCTTGGTGGTGATCTCGGAGCTGGTGTCCACGGCCGCGTCTGACGTGGTGGGGCGCCGGTGATGTGCTGCAGCGAGCGCGAGCAGGACCCTGGAACAATGCAAAAGTGGCTTTTCAGAGCAGCCAGTGGGGCGGAAGGCTATAGGATTTTGCACATTGATTTTATATAATGCCACTTTACTCAAAGTGCTTATCAGTTCTAAGAGTTTTCTTATGGAGCTCCCCCTTTTTTTAATTTGTGTTTTTGAGACAAGGTCTCTCTGCAAAGTCCTGGCTGTCTTGAAACTCACTCCATAGAACAGACTGGTCTTGAACTCACAGAGAGCCACCTGCCTTTATCTCCTTGCCTACTTTGGGTTTAAAGTCTATTTGACAGAGTTTGGAACAGACTCCTGATTATCTCATAGTTCAATTTTTTAAAGATATGTTTCAGTTGTAAGCCAGGCATTGGTGGCGCACGCCTTTAATCCCAGTACTCGGAGGCAGAGGCAGGTGGATCTCTGTGAGTTTGAGACCAGCCTGGTATACAAGAGTTAGTTCCAGTACAGCCTCCAAAGCCACAAAGAAACCCCGTCTCCAAAAACCAAATCTCTCTCTCTCTCTCTCTCTCTCTCTCTCTCTCTCTATCTATCTATCTATAATTCCAGTTGTTTATGTTGGGGTGTTTCTTGGACACAACAAATAGGTGCATCTTGCCTTTTAATCCAATTAATTGGTCTGTATCTTTTGATTAAAGCATTGAGGACATAATATTCAAAGTTATTATTGAAAGGTATGTATTAATCCTGTCACTGTTGGTTTTGTAGTGTTTGGTGTTTTCCTGTTCTCTGGCTTGACTAGTAAAGAGTGGTTTATTTTTCCCTGTGCCTTCACAGATGTATCTGTCTTTCTATTCTGCCTGAAGAATTTATAGAGCTGACTTAGTGGTCATGAGTTACTTAAGCCTGTATTTATCGTGGAAATGTTTTCTTTTACCTTCAGTTATGTCAGATAGCATTGTGTTGGCAGCTGGTGTCTCAGAATTTGAAAAACATCATTCCAGGCCCTTCTAACTTTAAGTTTCTGTCCTGGTTAGCTTTGGGGGTTTTTGTTGTTGTTTGTTTTTTGTCAACTTGACACAATCTACAGTTGTTGTTCTTTGCTGCTGCTTAGGGAGATGAAACATGATCCACCACACTCAACAAACACATAAGGAGTTTATTGGGAAAGGGAGTGAAGGGAGGGGTAGGTGTTAACTGATCGGGAGAGAACAGGCAGGAGGCACTTGCTTAAAAAGGGAAAGGGAGTGGTTTGGAAGGAGGCCAGAAGTTGGGGCCTTCGAAACTGGAGTCTTGGAGCTGCTGTTGCCCAGCACCACATGGCTTCTTCATGCAGAGTCCTTATGCAGCTACTTAATACATGCATACATGACGTAGCAATGCAACCTTGGACAGCCTTTGAGCTGTCAGGGTGGAGCTATCACCTGTCAAAGATAGATCCCCAGGGCAAGGGAAGGTCACCCGGAGAAGGGCAATCCCAAGGTGGGGAGAGAGCCTGAGGATTAGAGAGTCCCTGAGACAAGGAAAGGTTCCCTAAGGAGAAGAAGGCCCAGGCCCAGGAGAGGGCTGGCTCAGAGTGACAGGCAGGCACTGAGGAGAAACCACCAGGGCAGGAGGAGAGGAGTTGGGAGCAGGAACAGGGTCAGGTTGCCCAAGACCCAGGGAGAGGGAGAAGCCAGGATACCAACAGAGGGGCTTATATAGGGCCTCTTAGGGGCAGAATTTTCCCAGAGAGAAGTTTTTCTGCTCAGGGATTGGTTACTTTTCCTGTATCTTTCACTGGTCTATTTTGTCCCTTTGACTCTAGTTTTAGGGCCAGGGTGTATTTGTTTCACTGGCTCTGATTCTAGGAACAAAGCGTTAGGATAAAGTTGGAGGGGGACCATGGCAGATTCCATGGCAGGTGAGGTGACTGAGGGGAACGGACAAACACGCCAGGCAGACAGAGCTTAAATGAGAAATTTTATTAGTAAGGGGAGAGAGAGGGTAGGAAAGAGAAAAGGGGTAAAGAGAGACAGAGAGAGGACCGAAGAGAAGAAGGAGACAGGAAAAGTCCTGTCTGCCCCAGGGGAACAGTGGGAAGAGAGAGCAGGAAGAGAGCTGGAAAAGAGCAGACAGAGAAGAGAGCAGGGAGTGAGAAGAGCCGGAAGACAGCAAAGAGAATGTGAGTGGGCAGAGGTCTTTCTTTTAAAGGGGTCCTTTGCACCTGCGTGCAGATTAGTACTCATGGAACCCTGGGCTGACCAGGGTACTGCCTGAGTGCGTTCTGCCAGGTGACAGGGGCAGGCCGGCATAATGCCTGAATCCTTATACAAAGTGTGTTTCTTTGGCACTGCATTCAAAGCCAGGATGTTTTTTTTTTTGAGTTTAGGTCCAGGGATAAAGTGTTACTTTCATTGGCTCTGGGTTTAGAGTCAGACTGCTCAGGGATTGGTTGGTTTCATGTATCAGTTGGTCAGGGGCAGAGTTGGCTCTGGTGTCAAGGCCAAAGTGGGTTTCTTTGGCTGGCCCTTTTACCCTACATAAGTAAACCCCCTAGTTGCTTTTGGTCGTGGTGTTTAGCCGTGGAAAGCAAATCAAAACAGTTTCTGTGGAGAAATCTGTTATTGTGACAGGCCTGCCTTCTATGTTACTTGGTGTTTCTCTCTTACCACTTTTAGTATATTTTCATTGTTCTAATATTTGCTAGTTTAATTATAATAGGATGCAGGAACTTTTTTCTGGTCTTGTCTCCTTGGTGTTTCAAATGCCTCCTCATCTATGTAATCTCCTTCCCTAATTTAGAGAAGATTTATGCTATGATTTCATTGAAAATGTTTTCTATGCCTTTGTAATGGAATTATTAACCTTCTTTATGCTCACAGTATTCAATTTGATCTTTTCATAGTGTCCCAACTATTATGCTCACAAGTCTTCAATTTGACTTTTCATAGTGTTCCAACTATCTTGAAAGTCTAGGCCATACTTACTAATTCATCTTTGTCTTTGTTGGAATGATACAATTCCTCCTAAACATTTTCAAGCTCAGATATTCTTTCTTCCTTTCATTCATTCTGTTGGTGAGGCTTTCCACAGAATGTTTTAATCTGATTTATATTTTTCATTTTCAGTAGTTACACAAGGCTTTTCTTTGGTATTCTTACCTCTTTATTGGATTTTTATTTCATATCTTGTATCAACATCCTTATTGCATTCAACTGTTTGTATTCTCCTGAGAGTCTTTCAAGAGTTTAATTTCTCATTTGGTTTCTTTGAACTTATTTATAATTATTAATTTTAGTTCATTTTACCTAATTCACTGTCACTAGAATTAAATAAACTACTGATGGATTAGTAATTTTCAGAGGAGTTAGGTTGACTTGGTTTTTCATATTATTTGTGTTTTTATACTGGGGCATGAACATCTGGAGTTAGACCATTGGTTGAATTCATTTATTATTTAACTAGATACTAGGCTGTTGTTACCTAGAAGGAAGGGTGTGGCTAGAACCTTGATATACACACCAACAATGCATCCCTCCATACCCTCAATGGATACTGGGTGATAGAAGAGTGGGAGCCTCTCAGACACAGAATCTTCACCAGGTGACAGGTGGGAGTAAAATTTCAAAGACATGCTGATTTTACTGGAGTTTGTGACAGGACTTCAGTCTCCTGGGCCCACTGTTCTCACTCACCTAGGTGAGTGATATTAAATGCCATGGAGGGCCAGTGAGATGGCTTGGTAAGTAAGAGCCCCTGAGGACAATGCCTGGGACTCACATAGTGTAATGAAAGAACTGACTCCTGCAAGTTGTCTTCTTGTCTTCGTGTAAGCATACTTACACACATATACCCCCCCACATATATACATACATACATGTAAACAGGTATGGAAACAGTAATTCTGCCCGATAGTGTTGAATTAGATAATGAAAGAGAATGAACTGAAAGTAGAATGGTTGTGAATGTTGAATCCTAGCCCTACATTCTTTTGTATTTAGTGAGTGAAGACCAGTCATGTAACATCAGTAAGTCAGCTTGTTTATCTCTAAAATTAGGATTGACATAATGGGCTTGGAGTGTGAATTCATTAAGATTTTTTCAGAAGCAAGTAACATAAATCCCAACTCAGATTAGCTTAAACCATAAAGAAATACATTAGCTTACATGATTGGAGACCTGGATAGAGGAAGGCTGAATCAGTTCAGGATCTCTGTCTTGCAGTCACTGTTTTCTAACTCTATTGCTCTTCTCCATGCTCACACAGTAATAGTAGTAGGGCTGCAGTGGTCCCAGACTCATGCAGGTGCAAGCTCATGTCTGGATAAAGAGGGAGTGTGTTTCCCGTAGGCTTGTCTTTGAGGGAGAATTTTCCTCAGAAGCTTTTGCACACTCTTAATTGGGTGATATTGGTCCAGGTGTCATAAAACACTCTTTTCTGCATAACTAAAAGTTATATAATTAGTTCTGTTCAAGGAGCTGAAAAAAGTCAGGGTTTTGTTCAGGAAAGGAGTCAAAGAAAAAAGTGGATATTGGATAGGTACCTAACCAATGTATACTGTAAGTGATAATGATCATTCAGTAAATAGCAGCCATAGATATAATGTCATAATAAGCCTTTAAAGGCATGACTTCTTGTTCACTCTATTCTAAAAAGTGATTAGTTTTCACTGAAAAGTAATATTTACAAGGCACAGGAACAGAAAGGCTTGTCATAGGGTTTTCACTTATACCTTTCTGATAGCTTTACTACTTTGAGGTTGATGTTTGTGATGGTTAGGTTGTTTGTTTGCTTGTTGTTTTGTCAACTTGACACAAGCTAGGTCATTTGGGAAGAAGGACACTCAGTTGAGAAGATGCCTGTAAGTACTAGGGCTTACTTACTGAACCAAGGTCTCCTGATATGCTCAGTGGGAATTAAAATCAGACTGTATTGGAGGGGGTCTCAGCAACACTGAGGCTGAGACAAGTTTATTGTAAGCAATCAGACCTTTTTTTTTTTTTTTGCTCTGGAGACCTGGTTGGCCTTGAACTCACAGAGATCCGCCTGCCTCTGCCTCCTGAGTGCTGGGATTAAAGGTGTACGCCACCAATGCCTGTCGCAATCAGACCTTTTATA